CCAGGAGACCTGATGTTCACTGTGTACTCTGTGTTGATAGCTGATTAATGGAGGCTGTCATCTTCTTCAAGGTTTCCAAGGCAGTTAACAAAAGGCAGCCAGTGCTGCAGTACCTGTAATTACCCTTGCCTCTATACCTAAAGGTGCTGGTATTAACGCGCCCCTCAGCGCTGCCCGCCCCTCTGAACCACATCCTGCCACTGACAGTCTTAGTAATGCGATGCTGTCTGACTGCGGGGAGATCCAGCTTCAGAACCCCACTGAGGCTCTGCTCTTTAGGTCTCCTTTCTTAACACTGACTTGGCTTGGGTGCCTGAAAGCAGAGCCTAAGGCAGGGATTTGGGTAAAAAGGTGGATTACTCAGGAGCAAGGGTGGAGGGGAGAAGGGAACATGAGACAAGTGGGTATTCCTGAGACTGCTACTCTGAGCAATGGGAGCCCCACTTCCTAGGACTTGCACACAGCACATAGAATGGCTCAGAGCTCCCTCAGCTCTCATGGCCCTTCTGTTGAGGGTTCCTCCTGAGGGACTCCATCTGTCTTGTAATTCTGGTCTCAACTGAGAAAAGACAAAAGAGACCTTTGTGATGAGAGAAAGGCCCTGGGGCAGAAAACAGAAAGCCAGGGGCCGACCCACGTTTCAGGTGGTATGTGTTCAGTGCAAGGTTGGGGCTGGGTCTACACACTATGGTCCACTGCAGCCATGGCTTAAATCTGAGGTGGGCTGAAGTTTTGTGACCTTCAGGAGAGATCACATGGCCCTCGTCATCGTCATCATCATCATTATCATTGACTATACCAACTATAGAACAAGGGCAGGGTATTGTAAATAATAGAGTCATCTAAAAGTACATGGGCGGGAAGAGGAGAATGATTCTAGCATTTGGGAATCAGGAGGTCTGCATGGAAGAAGTGGTTTTTCATGGAATCTTGCAAGACAAGTAGGATTTCATTGGGTAAAGAAGTCACTTGAGTGTGGTGGCCCATGCCTGGCCATCCCCTGTATTCCCAGTGCTTTGGGAGGCAGAGGCAGGAGGATCACTTGAGACCAGGAGTTGGAGACCAGCCTGGGAAACATAGTAAGGCTGTCTCTACAAAAAAATAAAAAAATGAGTCAGGTGTGGTGATGTGCACCCATGGTCCTAGCCACTTGGGAGACTGAGGAGGGAGGAGCACTTGAGCCCAAGAGTTTGTCATGCCACTGCACTCAAGCCTGGGTGACAGAGAGACACTGTCTCAAAAAAAAAAAAAAAAAAAAAAAAACCAAAGGCAAAACATTCCAGGAGAGGAAAATAGAACAAACAAATATTGGATATAGTGAGGGGGGTGCAGTGATGAGATGCAGGAGTGGAGGTACAGTGATGGGTTGCAGTGACGAGGTGACGTAGAGATGGGATGCAGTGATAGGGTGCAGTCATGGGCTTGCAGTGGTGGGGGACAGTGACAAAGTATATTGGTGAAGGTTCAGTGGTGGGGTACAGTGATGTGGTACAATAGTGGGTTGCAGTGATAGAGTGTAGTGATGGGGTGCAGTGGTGGGGTGCAGTGCTAGGGTGCAATCATGGGGTGCAGTGGTGGAGTAATGGTTGAAGTGCAGTGGTGGGGTGTAGTGATGGGGCACAGTGGTGGGGGTGCAGTGGTGGAGTGTAGTAATGGGGTACAGCAGTGGGGGTGCAGTGATGGGTGCAGTGGTGGGATAGTGGTGGGGTGCAGTGATAGGGTAATGGTGGCGGTGCAGTGATGGGGTAACAGTGGAGTTTCAGTGAGGCGTTAGTTTGGAATAGGAGAATGGAGCCAGATGAGAAAAGATTTGAAAGTCAGGTTAAAGTGTTTGGGTTTAGTATGAATATGTGAGGGGTTTGGAGAAACAGGTTATGTCACGGAATCGCTAAGGCTTCCCAGCTGTGGGTTCATGTGTGGTGAGTGGTGCATTGCCCAGTGACCTGATTCTAGCACCAGAGCACCCCTCTTTGTTTTGTCCACCTACAGGCTGGTTTCCACCCTGAGGCAGCTGCCATTGCTCTCACACCTTCAAGTTCCTTTAGCCTCTCTTTATGAGAATCCAAAAGTGGGCTTTGATCTTTACCACTTATCAGCAGGGGCAGATTAATCTATGTTTTAAGCTAAGTTGCTTAAAGAACAAGACCTTAGCCCTCATCATGGTTTTCTCCCTCAGGGTTTCAGCAGAGCAATCTGAGAGAACAGGATGAGCCTTTCAAAGGTCTGTATCTTCCAGGGGCCACTCAGGCCACTGGTCTGTGCTACTGATGGGGACATCAAGGTGCAAGGAGATGATGTCAAGTTGTTATTCAGCTTTCCAGAAGATTAAGTAATTTGTCATGGCCCAAGAGCTGCAGAAGCCAGCCCATCCTCCCACATCTTTCTATTGCCTTTCCTTTCCCACTCCCTCCTCCCAAATTGCAAAGCCTGCAGCTCGAGGACAGGAAACCTGGGCTCTAGTCCCAGTAGTGCTGCTTCTCAGCCTTGTGATATTGGACCAGCAATCCTAACTTGCAAAACCTCAGTTTTCTCATCTACAAAATGAGACCAATGACATTAAAGTAGGTAACAGATGCAAAGAAAGCATTTAGCTCAGGATCCGGTACCTACAAGGCATTCTCTAAATGAAGGATAGTGCTATTGATTTCTGACATTATTAGTGTTTCTCAGAGAGTAGGTCCTGTGCATTAGGCCTGTGACAATCAGAGGTGGTACCTAGAGAGAACAGCAAATAGAAGACATTTTATTAGGAAACCATTTCCTCCACAGTTCTGTTTGCATTCTGATTTTGTGGAAGAGAAAGACTCAGTTTGGTGGTATTATAGCATCACACACACACACACACACACACACACACACACACACACACACATAATGCTTGCTAATTTCCATTTTTAGCAAGGAGAATTCTTCGCCCCTCTGTTAATGATAGATAATTACATCTAACTCAATCTGGTAAAGTCCTATTCAGTAATTTAAATAGTCTCTTTAGATAGCATAATCACTTCAAATAAATCCGTGGCCTCTCAGATTTGCTCCCCACCGCACCCGCACTCCTTGCCAAGATGGTATGTGGCTGTGTGAGTTATGGGATGCTAATAGGACCACATGAGTGGGAGGGCGGAGGGAGCTTGGACCCACTTGCAGAGGTCCTTGCATTGTTGTGGTCTCCACGCCCCGCTGCCCGGGCTCCTGGGAGGAGGATGAACTCTCAAGTGGAGAGCTCATGGTCTGTCCTCTCATCTTGATCAAAGCTCACTGATCCTCCCTGGCCAACTCGGTGCCCCACTTCACCCTGCCCAGTGCTCAACGCTGTGTTCCAGCACCTGCCAGGCTGTGGTTTCACTCTGTTCTCGAGCCCAGGAAGTGCCTGTGTAGCCCCCTGCCCTCCTCCTCCTTTAGCTCTCAGCCAGATTGGTAGTCACCTCTGAGTTTTCTTTAAAGCCACATGGTGATAGCTGGATCAATTTCAAGGAATTGGGGACCCAAGGGAAGTGGGAGCACCCCCTGAGATCTCTCTTGGCCCAACCACTTCTGCTCTGCTGGGTCGGCCCAAGTTGGTTGAGATGTAGAACCTGGGGTCAGTGTTCTCCTGGAGATCGCTTAACTGCTGAGCACAAACTCCATCCCTGTACCCCGTTGCTATACCCCTTTAGGACCTATGTCTAAGAGGGGGAGTCATTGCACTTTATATCACATCTGCTTTTCCTACCTCTGTTCCCTTCTCCTTTCCAAAATCCACTGGACAGAAAGGGCAGATTTTCCTCTTTGTCTTATTTTCGGGATCTTCTCCACCATATATCACCTCTTTGTAATGGTTGCTAGAGGCAAATGGAATGGTTTTGTGGTGTAGAAATGCAAGATACATTGGCTTGCACTTCTCAAAACACTGTCCTTAGCGTGCTAGGTAGATACAATTTTCTTTCATAACAGCTTCTTAAAAATGTCAATTTAAAGAAAAAAATCAAGTAAATTGATAGTGAATTTGGTAGTGGGAATGATACGAATTGTGAAGATAGAAGGTCCAAGGCTGAGCTTTGGGAAGCCACAGGCACATGTAAGGAGCTGTGATGAGTATGTCCACGGAAAAGTCCCAAGTGTACGCTAAGGGGGAAGAGGGTCAGGACTACAACTAATTACAGAATAAGAGGTTGGAAAAGCAATGTACTAAGAAGTTCAGAAGAATCAGGGGAAGGTTCTTGGAAAAGGTGGCAGTTAAATTGGGTTTTAAAGGAGAAGAAGCTGGAGAAGAAAGACATCCAAAATCGGGGTGGTGGTGTTGGCAACAAGAGAGTTTACATGAAGTGCTTTAAGGCGGTTGAGTGAGCAGTGGTGTACCGAATTAATAATGTTTCTGGTGGGATGAAGGGACAGATTTGAAGGCCAGGGAGAATCTTTTTGGTGGCAACTAGGAAGGACCAGAGGGGAAATAATACAGTCTAAGAAGCCTCAAGGTTGCCAAGGAGGCTGTAGACAAAATGGCTAGCAAGACTCTGGTTGGCAGGGCCAGCTGGGGTGCCAGTCTGAGTTGGCAGTGTTTGTGCCTTCAGAGCCACTTGCTTGCCCCAGCAGCAACCTTCTTCCTCTTCTCAGAAACTTCTAGGCTTCTCCAGCCTGCACTGTGTCCTTCTGGAGTCACAGGTAGGTCTGGAAACCTCATTCATCCTTGGGTCTCTGGAACATGTAATGCTAAAATTTCTTGCCTGGTATGGAATGTCTTTTCTATTTATCCCATCTCAGAAGTCCAAAGCCTGTCAAATTATCTTTCTCTAGCTCAAGAGTTAATCATCAGCTTCTTCTTAGGTAAATCAGAACAGGAAGGTCTTGCTCTGTCAATTCCTCTGAAAATAGTGTTCTGATGCTGTTCTTCAGTAACTCTGCTCCCTCTGCCTGCCTATTCAGCGTTTGCCTGTTAGCAGGAAGTTCATTCTGGCTCCTGACTGAAGCTCCCTGAGGCCAGAAGCCACTGTGGATGTTCACGGAGTTTAGGCAGCAGCCAAATGAATGGGAATCGGGTGCACCCAGGCCAGATCCTAATTTGGGCTATCTGGGTCCCTGCAGCCACTACCAAGGGTGAGATATCCAGTGGGAGAGGAGGGCTCTCAGAAGATGGGGTGGGGGGAGGATTTTCCACTGGTAGAAATGAAGTCATTTGTCAGAGGTGTCTGAGGGTCCGTGGAGAGCTATGTGATACTTTGATGGCACCAATGTCCTGGTGTTGCTGAGAAGCCAGAGCTTCCTTCTTGGAGTGGTTAGTGCACAGAAGACCCAGGTTCTGCCCTTGGGTTGCTCATGTCCTGCAAGGCGCTTAGAGGGGCTCTATCCTGAGTACTGGGGAGGCGTGAGGAACAGAGCCTGTGCTTCTGCACTCCTGGCTGCAGCGACTGGATTTTCAGTAATGAAATGACATTAGAAACAGTGCCAAGACACCCGGGTCCTGCTAAGTAAGTAGCTGGGCAGTTTCCTTCTTAAGGCTCCACGTTCTGTGTGGAAACTGAGACACTGGCATGCCCAGTCTCCCAAAGTGCCATCTTCATGTTCCTGGAAGTATATGGTTGATTTCAGGTAGCATCTGCGTGAGAATTTTAAGTTTTCACCCATGAATATTCATATGTATTCAAAAGTAGATACGTAACTCACCAAAACCACAATTCCATAGATGTGATTACTTGGAAGTCTTCTAGGTAAAATTTTAAAAGAAATTTATTGAAATTAAATTTTAGGAAAGAAATTAAAAGCCAGTAATCATGCAGGTGCTGCACAGATGTGCCAGCAGTGGTGCTGGAGGGTGTGGAAGGGACAGAAGTGTAGGAATCCCTGGGAAGATGAGTTTTTGGCACCCCAGGATCTACAGAGTTTGGCGTGTGTCCATCCTGTGGAAAGAAAGAGCTCTCAGCAGAAGGGAGATGGGTTCCTGAGTGAATAGGAAAATTCTGTGGCTCGGTTGTGCTGGGCTCTAGGGGAAAGAAAGTCAGTGCTTTCATAAGGTTGACTTCTACAGCAATCTTGGAAGAAGCCGCAGACATCGATTCATGGAGAGGGAACCTGGATACTGCCGGCTGCTCAGCCTCCAGGTGAAGGAAGTGTGTCCCCACTGGGGAGCTCCAGGCTGGGTCCCCAGCCTGCTCCTGACGCCTCCCAGGTGTTCTCTCAGGGCCTTCTGCTGAAGGGTCACAGAGGAACACCAGACTGGGATGGATTCAGGGCAAGCAAGTCACTGTGCTGGGAAGCCCGTGCCTGTGAATGTGTTCCTCGGAGTCCCCTTTGCAGCTCCTCCGCTGGGACCCCTGTGTTTTACAAATCCACAGCCTGCATCACCCTGGGATAATCTGTGAGAAGCCACCTCCTACCCTAATTCGTAAGACCAGGTTTGGGCCCATGGGTGGGTTGTGACTCTGGGAGTTGTGGGAATGCAAGTCATGCAGCCCAGTGGGAAAGAAGAGGGGTTGGCGTGGGTCCAGGAGGAGGGAGAGAGAGGGCTGGAGACTCAGGCAAGTGGTTCAGTAATCCCCTGACTCCCAAACTCGCTGATGGCCAGGTCGTTGGAGGCATCTTTAAAAATATGCGGATTCCCTGGGCTCCCTTCTGAACTTCCTGAATCGGAATATCCCAAGCTGAGCTCAGGAAACTATATCTGCACACTCTCTAGAGACTCTGATCAACAGCCAGGTTTTTTGGAAGTGCTGAGATGGGCTTACTGAGTCCTTTGGTCAGAAGGGGCTGTCCCAATGTATTCTTGTGAACTCTCACCCAAGCCTGGCCTCTAGGTCAGACTGAGTGAGAATTTTATTGGGAAGAAACACATTAGAAGGGTGTCAGCTCCAGCAGTCCAACCTGGCCCGTGGTGAACTCCATAAATACCTGTGGAATGAATGTATGGGTGTGTCTCTGTGACACAGGCACTCTGGGAGGTAGGGAGCTCCTGATCAAGCTCGAGTAGGTAACCCATTACCAAGTTAATTGGGGAGGAACGAGGTGAGACTAATGGGTGGGCAGTGAGACTTGAAAATCTCACGTTGGGACACATGGGTTCCTGGCAGAAGAAATTCTGGTGCCAGGACATTCCCTGAGCCACAGAAGATGACCCCATGTGGACCAAAGACTGAGGACATTAAGCTGAAACTCATTTGTTCGTGCATTCATTCATTCATCCAACTAATATTCATTGACAACCAACTTGATAGCTGGCTCTCCATTAGGCCTGGGGACATGGCCGGGGATGAGTCACAGCTGTCCTCAGGGGGTATGCAAATGAGTGATGGTGGCAGGAATGAAAACAATAATTGACGGTTAAAGTATAAGATGGCAAGGGAAATCATGAGTGTATCAGAGAAGGGTGCTGAGGGGAAACAGAGACTCAGCAGCCTAGCTTTGATGGGAGGTCAGAGATGGCTTTGCTGAAAGTGCTGAGGCCTGATCAGCAACATACAAAGGGGCAAGGATGCAAAAAAGCCTGTCAGGAGAAGATGTGCAGAGATATTGCACATTATTCTATTAACAAAGCAACTAGCATTGATTGTACATGGGGTATGGTAGAAGCATTCACATTCACAGCCTTGCTTAATCTTACGGTGTATCACGCTCTGTGCTGGTGCTCTGAGGTACAGAGGTGACTTAATACAGAGTCCCAGGATTTTAGCTGCCCACAATCAAACTGGGGGTGATGATAACTCACATTCACAAGCCTAGGACACATTCTGGGAAAGAACGCAAAATAGGTAAGTATTTCCAAAGAAGAGCTATGGTTGAACTGGAGAAATCTCAGAAGGCTTCTGGGAGGAGGTGGCAAGTTGGAATGAAGCTAAAACAAAGGGAAGAATGTGAGCATACAGATATGGGGAGTAAGCAGTCCAGGCAGAGGGCCTGACTTGAGCAAAGCCTGGATGCAGGAGTCTCCCTGCCAGTCTATCTTGGTTGGTTCCAGGTAGAGAGGCCTGGAAATGTTTCCTTGCTCTTCTGGGGACAGAAGAGGGAGCCACAGGGGCAAAGCCCTTGATATTCCACTGTGTCTTGCCCTCTACGGTTTGGGGAATTGTTGGGCCAGCTCAGGTCGTTATGTGCGTCTCTATTGAGGTGGTGGGTGTAGGCATGGGAGGGTGGTGGGGGTAATGGTACCGTTACTCTACACAGTGTTCTTTCCTACCCAGGAACCAGATCAAAGAGAATTTGCTTGCTTGTTTGTTTTGGAAACCATGGGGATTTGGGCATGATTGGACTTTGTACCAGTAGCTGCCTCTTCTGCTCAGGCAGAGATGTCCAGGCCTCCCCACTGTCACAAGAACTGGCCCTTCGCAGGCGAGTTTGCTGATAACTTTTTCTGAGGGTTTTCTCCTTTCCTGGAGGTGCCTCCAGAAGTCAGAGTGGCTGCTCTTAGATCAACACATGCTCAAGGTGCGTGACCCCAAATTTGAAGTGTCAGAAGACGGCCCGTACCTTAACTTCTATGCGCCGGTCCACGCCGATGCAGGCTCCAAGCTCCTCATAAGGCTGCCTGCTGTGTGTTTGGGGCTCCAGCTTGCAAGACCTTGGCCTGGGATCCAGGCAGGGCAGCTGCCTGTCTGGAATTGGACCTACCCTGTTGCCTAAAAGGGAAATGTAATCACATCAACAATTTTAAAAGATCATTCTCCTGCTAGATTTGAGTGATCGGTTTTTCTGCCTGATTCTTTGTTGGCAGTGACTTGACGTTTGATTTTTATCTTGCTTGTTTTTCCTCTCTGTTGCATATTTAGTGACCTGTAAACTTTCAGAAAAGACACTGCTTAAAAGGAGTCTGACTTTTTTTAAATTTGGGGAATCCTTTTTCAAAGACGATAATTTTATCTTCCAACTTTTCTGTTTATAATGAAGACAGGTAATCATGTTAAGTGTTTCCTTTAAGAATATAAAACATCCCTGTGTCAGTGAGCGGGGGAAAGGCATATTCTATTTTTCAGCCACACCCTCACACCCTCCTCTCTTCCTGTGCTTCTGCCAGGGGCAAATTGGCTCTCTTGTATCCTAACAGCAACGTCTATTAAGTGCTTGCTGTGTGCCAGCCACAGTACATCATCTCATTTAACTCCCACACTAACTCAGTGGGTAAGGAGGATTTGGACCCATTCCACAGATGGAGAAGATGAGGCACAGGAAGGGCATAGCTGACTTGCTCCATGTTGTACACACAGTTGGCGCTAGAACCTGGCACCAAAGCCAGCGCTTTGTCCACCTCCCCTTTCCTCAGAGGTGTTCCTCTCTTTACCCGTCCCGAAGACTGTAATATCTAATATGACCTTAAGAAAGAGAATGATCTGTTATTAAATATATAAATAGAGGTAATGCCATTTAAATAATGTTTTATGTCCCCTGGTCCCAATTTTTCTAATCAATAAAGTTTGTACTCTTCCCTTATTTATTTCTGAGACAGCGTCTCAGTCTGTCGCCCAGGCTGGAGTGCAGTAGTGTAACCTTGGCTCACTGCAACCTTTGCTACCCGGGCTCAAGCGATTCTTGTGCCTCAGCCTCTCGAGTAGCTGGGATTACAGGTGCCTGCCACCACGCCCAGCTAATTTTTTGTTTACTAGAGACAGGGTTTCACCATGTTGCCCAGAGTGGTCTCAAACTCCTGAGCTCAGGCAATCCACCTGCCTCAGCCTCCCAAATTGCTGGATTACAGGTGTGAGCCACTGAACCTGACTCTTCTTTCTCTTCTTTTTCTTCCTTTCTTGATCTTTCATCCTTCTTCTCCTCCTCTTCCTCCTTCCTCCCTCTTCTCCCTTCCTCCTCCTCTTTCTTCTTCTCTTTCTCCTCTTTTTCTCCCCCTCCCCTCTCCGAAACCCTTCCTCTCCTCTCCTCTTCTCTCTCTGAAAGTAGAGAGCTTTTCTGTGTTTGCTCTTACACATGGCTTACAATGTTTTCCATCTTCCTGTAGGTCACAGGCTCACTGGTATTTACTGAACAATTTCTGAGCACTTGAAACTTGAAATGTGCTATCACTCACTATTCTATGAGCTTTAAATGCCGAATTCTGTTTAAACCTCATGATAACTTCGTAAGTGAGATGCTTTCCTTCATCACATCTTACAGATAGAAAAATGAGCCTTAGGTTAAGTAATCTGGCCAAGGTCACACAGATAGTCAGTGGCAGACTTGGGAGTCAAACCCAGGCACTCAGGTGCCAGAGCCTACATGCTTCACCCTGGGCCTTCTTCAAATGACAGGCCTTTCACCCTGCTTAGCAAGTGGGACATTCATATTTCACCTGAAGAACGTATGTCCCAAACTGCATGAGGAGGGGCGGTGGGGCCTGGTGGGCTGACTGGATGTTCCTCTCCCCTCTTCAGGTCTTGGTATGGTTCCCAGGGGGTGCCTTTCAGACTGGCTCAGCCTCCATCTTTGATAGGTCCTCCCTGGCTGCCTCCAAGGACGTGCTGGTTGTGATCGCCCAGTACTGGCTGGGAATATTGGCTTCTTCACGTGAGTCTCTCCCAGCGATCGACACCCCAGATCCCAAAGGGGCAGCTGTGCAGTAGTCATAGACAGAGCTTAGCAACCCGAGAAGGGGTGAGCCTTCCGTGACATTGAACAAAGCTGGCCCTAATTACTTTGGTAATTTTTGCAGCTGTAGCAGATAAATCCCCAAATTTTGGTGGCTTAAAACAATAAAAATCTCTTTCTCACTTGAGTAAAGTTTAATTGAGCATCCCTGATTGACAGACATCCTTCCCATGGTCAACCAGGGATCTTGAGCTCTGATGTGGATTCTCTAGGGCCCCGGATTGTCTGCATTTGGTGGGTGGATGGAGAGAACATGGAGGAACATGCAAGGGAGGGTCTCCCGGCCCAGCGTGCAGGCGGCACTCACCATTTTTGCTCACTCATCACTGGCAGAACTCAGTCATGTGGCCACATCCAGCTGTAAGCAAGCTGAGGCAATGTAGCCCCGCTGTGTGCCCTGGAAGACGAGGGCACTGTTTGTGTGAGCAGTTGGTGGTGTCTACCTGAGCCTCACCCCCAGCATCCTCGAATGCTCACCTGAGAATATCACTCCATCACAGTGGCTTCCCTCCTCCAATCACGCCTAACACGTGCTGAGCACTCACTGAACCAGACGTGGTGCTGTACACTTGCCATGCATTATTTCAACTCACCAGCAAAATACTTCTTGAAGGAAGTTCTATGCTGTTATTCTCATTTCACAGCTGGAAAATGGAGGCCCAGAGAGGTCAAGCAACTTCCCAGGGTCACAAAACAGAGCTAGGTCTCTTGACCACTTCTATTATCCTGCCTGAAACATGGCAGGAGAAGTCATGAACAGGGTCCAATGAAAGTAAAGAGGAGTAGTGAGAGGCGAGGCCAGGATCATGCCTGGGGGTCACAGTCACATACTATGGGAAAAGCAGCAATGATTCTAATATGAATCCTGCCCTACAGAGGCTCCTGACTATGGGGGACATAATGCAGGGAAAAAAATATCCACTTTCCAAGCAGGACATGGTTAATTCTCCAAGAGTGAGATGCCATGGGGCTGTGGAAACAGAGGAATGAGCTGCAAGGAATTGGGGAGGCTTTGAGAGAGGGGTGGCATTGGAGCTGCACTGGAAGGATGTGGTTGGGTTTGAGGAGAAGGGGTTGAGAGAGCATGTGCTTGACAAAGGCGATACGTGTGCAAAGACTGGGAAGTTGGAAGGGAGGTAGAGGCACATGGGGTTGAAGCAATACTTTTGCAAAGCGCACTGAGACTGTAGCCCTGGGATGTGGCTCTGGGAGTGTTGGGCAGGCAGGACAGGCTGACGGGTGCCCTGACCAGGACAATTACACTTCTGGCTGCTCTATACATTAGGATTCTGCATAAGATTCCTTTGGTAGAAAAGTTTTCAACAATTGTTTATTGTATCTGGTTTTGAGCATAGGTTGGGAAAGCCACAGCAGGAGAAGGATGTGGAAAGGCAAGGACAGGCATGATTAGGAAAGGCCTTGAATGCCAGGCTGTACATAGAGTTTGGGCTTTATCCAACACAGATTGAGGGACCAGTAGTACCTTTCTCAGAGTAGTGTACCAGAAACCTCACTCCAGAGCAGAGTGGAGGCTGAGCCAGGGATGCCCAGCTGCATGTGGGGAGCCCCACTGGGAGGCACTGTCTTGATGCAGGCCATGGGGTGGTTGAACCACAAAAGCATTAGCTGCATTGTGTATGACATGCTTATTGTCTGCCTGGCACTATCAAGCTTCGCAATCATGTGGAGTGGGCACTATCATCCCCATTTTATATGTGAGAATCATTGAGGCAAAGCAGGTTAAGTGGCTTGTCCAAGGCCACCCAGATAATAAGTTTCAGGCTGTGAATCCTGTGCTAGAAGCTGAGATAGTAACCACTAAGGTATAATGCTTCTCAGGATAAACAGAGATGGAGAAACGGGGACCAGGGTGGGAGCCATGTAGAATGGAACATAGGTAGATGAAGGTAAAATTGGCAGGGCTTGACTCTTGATCAGATGCAGGGGCCTGGGGGAGAGAAGGTGGGGTCAGAGCCAGCTCAGTGGTCATGGACAGAGGAAGGGACCCGGGGGAGGAGCAGTGTGGGGGACTGGGAAATGGAGGGGAGTAGAATGTGCCCCAGGATGACGTGCATACATGGTGTGCACTGCATGCATGTTTCCGGTCTAGACATTTCTTTGGTTCTCTGGCATTTCCACTTGCTTCATTTGTTCTCCCATTGATTCCATCCTGGGAAACATGCAATTGTGCAGGGGCAGCAGCATGGGAACATGGGATCCCAAATCTGCAGCTTTGTAGCTCTTGGGTAAGGGGGTTTAACCTCTCTGTGTCTGAATGAAAGAGTTGATATGCACATTGGTCTCCTGAGAGCATGCTCACAGGTTTAGTGGCAGAGAGTTGGCATGAGCTGCTGCTATGGAGAAATGCAGTCTCTGCCCAAGCACTTGCCAGCAGAGAGGGAGCATGGGGTGGTGGGATAAACTTCCCAGTCTCTCTCTAGCCCACCCTCAAGGCACACAGGTGAGGCCTGAGTGATGTCATTCCCAGAGGCCAGCTTTTGGGGGGCAAGGCAGAGAAGGGTGGAGAGGACCCAAAGAAGCGAAGGGAGAAAACCCAGCACCACCTACCTCATATGTGTGAGGATTGTAGGAGTATTAGCCTTAAAGTCATTAGAACAGTGTCTGGCACATGTTGTAGCTGTTATTATTGTTACTATATTATTAATTTAGTGGAAAATCCTGTGCTCAGGAAACTCTTGCTTTCTTGTACAGACCAACTCTCGGGAACGGATTCATGGATTCCAGACCAGCCCGGGCAACGTAGGATTCTTAGATTCTGAGGAGCCTATGAATACTTGAAATTGCACCTACAATATTGTATGTGCATTTTTCTTGGGTGCGTAACTTTCATCAAATTCTCAAAGAAATTCAAATCCCAGCAAAGTGTGAGAACGAGCCTGGTTTTCCCAGCTCCTCCAGTCCTCTGACTCTGAGTTCCCTTCCCCACTGACACCTGCCCACAGCCTCTGCTGAGAACTTCTGGGGCCGTGGGAAACACACCATGGTTGACTGAGAATACTCACCCTGCCTCTTGTCCTCAGCACATGGGATCAGCATGCTCCGGGGAACTGGGCCTTCAAGGACCAGGTGGCTGCTCTCTCCTGGGTCCAGAAGAACATCGAGTTCTTTGGTGGGGACCATCTTTGGCGAGTCTGCGGGAGCCATAAGTGTTTCTGGCCTTGTGAGTTCTCTGCTTTGTGATTTGAATGAATCTCAGTATGGGAGGTTCCAGCAATGATGATGATGAGTCACTAACATTTGATTGGTGCCTTCATGTTGAACAAACACTTTAATACACATTGTCTCCTACAAGCCACACAAACACATTGTGAGTTAGGGGCTCAGTCTCATCTCATGGACAAGACAGCCGCCACTGGGAAAGTTTAGATAAATCACCTAAGGTCACATAGTGAGTAATAATTTGAGGAAAAAAATCCCTTATATTTGTAGAGAAGAAGCCCTAGTATTCAATTACCAGAGTAGCAATCACTTGTTTAATAGAAAATGCAGCTAAAGCATGAAATACCACAAGATGCATATAAATATTTTATTTTAATTTAAACCATAAAATGTACATTCCCTCACCAACAGTTTGATATAGGGCCTTGTGTTTGCAGAGTTGGTCTGCTGGCTCGAGTTCCAACATGGGTTATCTTGCATAAACCACCTGCAAAATTCACAGTCCTCAAATTGCAGTTTCAATTTCTTTGCAGTGGCACAAACTTAAAGATGCCTGCAAAGTAGTCTGACTTTAGCTCATTTGGAGTTTTGTACTTTTCCTTTTACTTCTTTCTTGTCGACACACAATTTGACAGCGATATATTCTTTTTTGAGACAAGGTCTCATTCTGTTGCCCAGCCTGGCATGCAGTGGGATGATTATACTTTACTGTAGCTTGAACTCCTGGGCACAAGCAGTCATCCTGCCTCAGCCTCTCAGGGAGCTAGGACTACAGGCATGTGCCACCACGCCCAGCTAATTTTTATTTTTTTGTAAAAATGGGATCTTGCTATATTGCCCAGGCTGGTCTTGAAATGTTGAGCTCAAGTGATCCTCTTGCTTTGGTTTCCCAAAGTGCTGGGATTATAGGCATGAGCCACTATGCCTAGCCAAACAGCAATATTTTTTAGCCACCCTTTATCAAGAAATTTTTTCCAGACATAATTCGATTTTCTTTTTACACACACAGTACATTTGTTCTCATGATATTTCATTGATTATGTAATTACAATAACAAGCGCAACTGACAAAACATGTTTGGAAGCAAACACACCTGATTTTTGACAAGAAACTGATGAGAAACTGGCTAGAAAATGGTCCATTGGCTCAGAGTGGTCAGCATTTCCTTGGCATCAGTTGGGAGGTTAATTGCAGAAATCAGTGACATGCTGATGAGTTAAGAGAGCTTCTGCTATATAGCACTTGACAATATATGTGGTCTTTTAGCATCTTCAAAATTACCTTCTAAGGTGGATTATATTAACCTAACTTTTCATATATTATAACAGCCACTGTTTCATGAGCGAAATTTGGCCAGACCCTCTGTGAAGACTTCTATGTCTATTACTTGTCCTGCTCCTCACAACGGTTCTGTGATACGGGCTTGATCTTTACTCCAGTTTTACAGGGGAGTGAACTGATGCTTAGAAATATTAAGCAGCTTGTCTGAGGTTATCCAGCTAGGAAGTGAAGGAGCTAGAAATCATATGCCTGAATATTTGACATAAAAGTTCATGAAGAGCCGGGGGCTCAGAGAGGTTAAGTAAGTTCACAGCTAGTCCTTTAATCCCCCAAACCAGGGCTCTTTTCTCCTCTAAGCTTAGAGCTTTTAAGGAGGGTTCCTGGGAAGGTTTCTTTGAAGAGGGAAGAAAGGTATGTGTGATCGGTGGTGAGTCCTCTGCTAACCTTTCCTGAGTCTTCTGTGTTCTCTCTCCAGATGCTGTCTCCCATGGCCGAAGGCTTATTCCACAAAGCCATCATGGAGAGTGGGGTGGCCATCATCCCTTACCTGAATGCCCAAGATTGAGACGAGTGAGGAAGTACGTAAACTGTGAACACCTTTCCAGCTTCCTCTTCTCAGTTAGGAGAGAATGTGGTTGGGCACCTTCTCACCATGTGCTTGGCTTTCCTTAGTGACCATGCCCAAGGAACCTCATGCTGGCCCAAGTGAACCTTGTTCCTCCATGAAAGGCCAGGTTCAACAGGAAATGTGTCTAACTACACAAGGACACACCCCTGGGGTGCACGAGTGTGTGTTTGGTTCTTACGTCTTACCCATTATGCTTTGCTTGTGGTATATAACTCAGTCCCCTGTATTCTATACAGCTCTTCTCCTGTACCTACTCTACTCCACTGGGAATGGATACCCAGGGCACTACATTAAGAAAGATTCAGAGGCTGTTTCCAGCTCAGTGGGAAATAATACTGTGACTGATTAATGTTGTCTGGCATGGGACTATAAGGGGCATCTATCCCATGATATTTGTCATCTGCTCTTGTCTTAATTATCTACTAGATAGTGAGGCCCTAGAGACAAGGAGCTCTCTGCCCTTCAGGCACCCCAGCATAATACCTGGTATATATCAGGCAGCCATAAATGTTCCGGATGAATGAGTTAACGAATGAGCGATTTCATTCAATGCATATTAATTAAGCACAGGGCTGTGGAGCCATCTCTTGAGTATTAATCATTTTAGTGGTAAATTTTCTTAAACATCTTATAGAAAGTAACAGTTTATACCAAGAGCAGAAACAGAGTTATAAAATTATTAAAAAGAACCTTCAACACATGGAAACATTGATTTCTGTTACGTTCTCCATAAAGCTGCCTTCAGTTTGGACATATATTTATCCATTTGATGTATGTCACTGAGTGCCATTTTCCCTGCTCTGTTAGAACTTTGAGGTTTATCAGCGGAGAAAGCATATGCTAAACTTGAGGGTAATGTAATCTTTTTATCACCTGTCTATGGAGAAGATTAAATCCTGGAATCCATGGATAGGTTTTGGAGGTGGTCCCACAATGGTACCAGCCTCTACATGCTTGTGCATTTTCCCAGGGAGAGGGTCTGTAACTTTGATTGGATTCTCAAACAGTCATGACTCCCAGAAGATTAAGGACCACCACTTTCAGTGGATGAGTTCTACAAATATGGATGGTTCAGTGGCAAGGAAATCAGGTGTTCAGCAATGGGCTAGGCTTGGAAGGTGGAGAACATTGAGCTGATAGGAAATTAGATGAGGAAGGGGTTTCTGGGGGCTGCGATACCCTGAAAGGACATTGTGGAGGGCAGGACTTGGGCCTTAAAGAATGAGAAGGATTGGTATAGAGACAGGAAAAAAGACAGGCAGGACATTCCAGGCTGTGAATGGTTCTGGGGCTTGGGCAGAGCTGACAAGCTGAGAATCTGCTCTGGAGCCTGGCCTCTGCTGACAGTGGAGGAGCTTGCGAAGCTGCTCCTTGCTCTTGGTGTTTCTGTCTTCATTTAGCACCTCAAGGTTGGGCTTCTAGGCTCCAGAAGGGCCAACTGGCAATGCAGCCCAGCTCACAGGACTGATCTCTTTGTGACCAGGATTCTTGATTCCATTCCATGGCCACAGACGGACAAACTCCCATCTCAGCTGTGGTGTTTGTTAAAGATGACAGGGAGGCCAGGCAAGAGAGTGAGGGTGATGCGGTGCCAGCCTGTCAGTCATGTGCACCTTCCATTATAGGGGCGTGGGGCTAGGCAGGGGTAGCAGGAGGGACTCATATATGGAGGACCGGCCTGTGGCTGACTGGAGGGCATTTTCCAGCTTTCATTTTCCTAGATACTTTCAATATCATGCTCTAACCTGGTCCACCTCTGGAAGTAGCTGCAAGTGGTGGCGTGCTTCTGTGGGTACAATGCCTCAGACTCTGAGGCCCTGCTGAGGTGCCTGAGGACAAAATCCTCCAAGGAGCTGCTGACCCACAGCCAGGTGAGGACAGAGGGGGTCGTTTGGGGGGGGCAGCGTTGCCCTTTGAATGGAGAGGTGGACAAATCCTACCCTTTTGTTATTTATTTGGATTTGGAACATGGAAAAGAGGAGGATTGGGGATACTTGATAACAGCTGTAAAAAAATACATGGGGGTATGGAACCCTTGTAGATAATTTAAGAAAATTGTTGGGGCAGGGATGCAACTTAGCCTGGAGAAGCTTCAGCAAAGTATAAGCTTGTCTGTAAGTCCCTGAAGGCATCTCACGGGAGGGAGGGACCACACTTATTACGTATGCTTCCAGAAGCTGAAGTCAAGATCAGGAGCTGGAAGTTCTAAGAAGTCATTTTACTTTTGTGTAACTGAAAACTTTTCAAGACCTCCTTCAGAAGATGGTGAGATGCCCATCTCTCTGGGTATTCGAGCAAAATCTAGCTGACTACTGACAAACGTTCAGTCACTGACAGTTAATTTGACTGGGTGATCTTTTATGTCCCTTCCAATCTTGAGAGCCTTTAATGACAGTCTTTGAACAAACAAAATCATAATCTTTCAGATTTCAACATTTGCTAGTTATGTGGTGTGTACTGAGTGTCCACTGTGGGCCCTGCTAGACTCAGTGAAATGGATAAGTCCTAGACCTGATGTGTGGAACTCTTTCATGTGCTCTTTTCTACCCAAATCCCAAAACAGAATCCTAAAGAAACCATGATTAGAGACGAGTTTTGCTTTCTGAGACTCAAAAAACATCCAGCCATGTTCAAGGCATTGTGTCTCAGGGAGACATCAGAGGAAGGTGTTCACACCAACTCTTACATTCCTGGCCACTCTGTCTACCCTCATTTTTCCCTTTGCATTTGGCCAGTGGTTCTCAAACTTGAACATGCATCAGGACATGGAGGACCGGCCGAAAGAAAGTTCATGGGCTACACCCCACCCCAGAGTTTCTTAAAGAGGAGCCTGAAGTGGGCCTGAGAATGTGCATTTCTAACAAATTCCCAGATGCTGATGCTGCTGGTCTAGGAACCACACTTTGAAAATCTCTGAGCTAGGTGGTATTAGTTTCCTCTTGTGCTGCTAATAAAGACATACATGAGACTGCGTTGTTTATAAAGGAAAGAGGTTTGATAAACTCACAGTTCCACACGGCTGGGGAGGTCTCACAATCACGGTGGAAAGCAAAGGAAGATCAAAGCACATCTTACATGGTGGTGGCCAAAAAAAAAAAAAAAAAAAAAGCTCAGGGAGCGCCCCTTTATAAAACCATCACACCTTGGGAGATTTATTTATTCACTATCATGCAAATAGCACAGGAAAGACCTGCCCCCATGATTCAATTACCTCCCACCGGGTCCCTCCACAACATGTGGGAATTATGAGAGCTACAATTTGAGATCTGGGTGGGGACACAGGCAAACCATATCAGAAGTCATTGCTTTTCTTAGGTAGATATTATTATCATTCCCATTTAGCAGATGAGAAAATAAGGCACAGACAAATTTAGCCCCCTTGCCTAAGTAGGTGGCAGAGCTGCCAGGGACTGATATCTTGAGCTGGGCCCATAGTGTTTGTTTTTACGTTTTAAGGGCATTTAAGCCAGTGTTAGACTGGGTTGGCTTTGCTTGGCCAGGATTTGGGACAGCAGATTTTGTGAATGGGATAGCAGATTTTGTGAACAGAAATAGCTGCTGATTTTTTTTTCTTCCTTATTACAGAAAACAAAGTCTTTTACTCGGGTGGTTGATGGTGCTTTCTTTCCTAACGAGCCTCTAGTTCTATTGTCTCAGAAAGCATTTAAAGCAATTCCTTCCATCATCAGAGTCAATAACCACGAGTGTGGCTTCCTGCTGCCTCTGGTAAGAATCCTGGCTGGCCATACTGCCCCTCCCTCAACCATGATACAGCTCTTGGTTTCAACAGCTGAGCATTTCTAAAGATGTCACCAGGAGTTGTAAGCGCTGGAGCCCACCAGTGTTTGCCTGTCTCGGAAAGAGAGGAAGTGAGGACCGGGCCAGTCACAGCAAATATCTGCCTTGCTCCTCGTGTGATGAGGTTTAGGGTGGAAGAAACAACTATATAAAAAGGAAAGAGGAGATGGGTCCATTTGGTCTTTGTTAAAAAAATATTATGAATGATTGTTTCCAAAAAATGCAGTTACTGTTTCAGAGCTGACATTCAAATAGGTTTGAAAAACTTCAGTCCTTTAAACTTTTCACATCTAACCTTGGTTCTGGCATTTCGACAGCCAAGAATGCTAAGGTTGTATAAGTTGCAAAATTGTTAAATCATTTTATTTATTCAACAAGTATGTATTACAGGCTTATAAAAACAGACCAGTTGGCAGCGAGCATGGTGCCAGCTTACACTTTAGTGAGGAGAGAGAGAGAGACGAGACACGAAGTTGAAAAGATGATTTTGGAGAGTGACAGACGATATGAAGGACACGAGTGGAGAGAGAAGGTATCTTTAGGAAGGATAACAGGTGATGCAGAAAGGCTCCTTTGGGGAGAGATTGTTGAGCTGAGGCCTGGGTGCTGGGAAAGACCCATGATTTTTTGATTCCGTGGTTTCGAAAGACTCTCTTCATTGGAAATAAACTTTTCATTTGTCCTCAGAAGAGTAGAGGCTTCAAATTCCTAAAACTGTTGAAGCTCATTTATTTAGACTGACCTCCTCATTTTAAGCTGGAGGAAATGGGGTTAAGAAATAAAGAGGTTTGCCAAATTATAAAGCTAGCTGATGGTTGCTAGAACCAGAATCCTGAGTTCACTGGGTTGTGAAAGCAAGTTCTGCCATTATGAATTTGACCTCCAGGGCAATGTTTTGAGGTGGGATTAGGGATTTTTGTCCTCATGTTGCAGATAAGGCCACTGAATCACAGTTCATGCCTTAAGTAAGCCTTTCAGTGATTTCTGGGTGTGTGTTAGAAAGAAGAAGGCAGGTGCCAGTGACAACAACCACCACTGTAACTGCCACAACCAGTTCCCCGGTGTCTTCCAGGGCCAAACACAGGCGATCCAAGCAACGACTTGAAACAGGCATGATTAATGATTATTCCTATTTGAAAGAAACTGAGGCTCAGAGCAGCTGAAGTGGCTTTCTAACATCTCCCAGCTTGTCAGGAGACAGTGGTGTATAATTTTTATTCATTTAGGCTCTGCCTTTTATTTTATTTTGTTTTTGAGTGGTCGTCTTGCTCTGTTGCTCAGGCTGGAGTGCAGTGGCATGACCTGGGCTCACTGCAACCTCTATCTCCTGGGTTCAAGTGTTTCTCCTGCCTCAGCCTCGGGAATAACTGGGATTACAGGAGCCTGCCACCACACCCAGCTAATCCTGTTTTGTATTTTTAGTAGAGACAGGGTTTCACCATGTTGATCAGGCTGGTTTTGAACTCCTGACCTCAAATGACCCACCTGCCTTGGCCTCACAAAGTGCTGGGATTACAGTTGTGAGCCTGTGCTCAGCCTGGGCTCTGTCTTTAAATGCTGAGCTCTCTACTTACCTGCTGTGTGACATTAGGTGAGTTGTCTACCCTCTCTGACCCTCCATTTTTTTCAACGGTGAAATAGGGCTAATCTTAGCACCTGCCTTGCAGGAATACATCAAACAGTCTGGCATAGAGTCAGTGCTCAGTAAATGCTATTATGTTGGAATTATTCGAGTGACAGAATCTGCAGAGCTCAAAAGCCTGTGTGGATGCTGAAATTCCATGTGAATTTGCAGTTAAACCCATTGCTAGCTGTTAGGGACCACAAGAAATGCCCCAGAAACAAATCCCAGCTCCTTAACGTACAGAGAAGGTTTTTAGTAGTTAAAATATGCTTACAGGTAACTTGAATGACTCTGAGGGTTCCCTGCGATTCCAGGAGACAGGTATGTTTAAGTATCAGCCCCAGTAATGCATTATCCCAAGATTTTCAGCAGAAAACCTACCAAGAAAATTCATTTGTCAGGTGGATAGTATTTCTGCTGCCTCATGTTTTAAAACTGTAATTTTGCCAGAAAAGGGTAATTTAACAAATAATCACGTGCATTGCTTACTATGTACCAAGCACCATTGTAAGAGCTTTACAAACATCAACTCGCTCAGTTCTTGTCACTGCCCCGGCAGGGGGTACCTGTTGCAAACTTCATCTTACAGACCAGGAGCCTGAGGCAGGAGGAGTTGAGTCCCTTGCCAAGTTCACAGCTGGCAAGGGCAGCGCAGGGAGCCTGTGTTCTCAGCCACCAGCCTCACTGCCACTGTCCCACCCACTGTGGCTTCTCAGAGGCCTCACCTGCAAAGGTCTCTAGGAGAACAACAAACACCAGTTTTGAGATTTTCTCGCTTCTGTTTGAACTTGGAATCAAAGCCAAGTTGGAGCCTCTTAGGCAGTTAGGGCTGCCATAAGAAAATAGCATAGACTGGGTGGCTTAAAAGACAGACATTCTTGTTCTCACAGTTCTGGGGCTGGAAGTCCAAGATCAAGGTGTTGGTATCACTTTGTGTGTCTAAACGGTCCTTTCTCATAAGGACATCAGCCGGATTGGATTAGGGCCACTCTAACAGCCTCTTTTTAACATAATCACGCCTTTAAAAGTACTATTTCCAAATGGTTCCATTCTGAAGTACAGGGGTTAAGGCTTCCATGTGTGAATTTTGAGGGGACCACAATTTAGCCCGTAATGGGAGCCTTTCAACAAGGTGGCCACTTGGACCCCACAAGGCTGCAGGTGGAACGACAGGGAAAAGCTGCCTTTTATCAAAAGTGAAAAGAAGAAATTAACTACCTGACTGGCACACGGAAGCCACTTCCACACATGGCTGCCTAGGCTTGAGGGCTCCTGTGCTTCTCAGCTTCCCCTGTGAAAGTCGGGTGCCCAGGCCCTTGGGGAGACGGGTTTAACCTTCTGATGACCAGATAGCTCATGGAGGTCACTGCTTCTCTCCACAGAGGGAGGCTCCTGAGGTCCTCAGCGGCTCCAACAAGTCCCTTGCCCTCTCTATGATATACAACATCCTGGTGAGTAGCTTGAGAGGCTGCAGTACTCCAGAGACACATGCACTTAGCAGATAGCCCTGGGTCACATTCAGTGGGAGGAGCTGGGGGCACAGACACTCCTCACTCACTCAGTCACGCAACAGACCTTTATTTTATAGGTGTATTAGTCCACTCTTGCACAGCTATTGAGAAATACCTGAGACTGGGTAATTGATAAAGAAAAGAGACTTAATTGGCACATGGTTATGCAGGCTGTACAGGGAGCATGACGCTGGCATCAGCTCAGCTTCTGGGAAGGACTCAGGAAACTTACAAACATGATAGAAGGCAAAGAAGAAGAAGGCACATCTTACATGGCCAGAGCAGGAAGAAGATAGAGATGGACGAGGTGCCACACACGTTTAAACAACCAAATCTCATGAGAACTCTATTATGAGAACAGCAGCACCAAAGGGATGGTGCTGACTATTCATGAGAAACCACCCCTATGACCCAATCACCTCCTACCAGGCCCCACCTCCTCCATTAGGGATTGCAGTCCAACATGAGATTTGGTGAGAGACAGAGATTCAAACTATATCACTAGGCCCACAATCCCTAATCCACAACCCCCAACCTGGAAGAGCTCCAAAAATCCAGAGGCTTTTTGTAACCCACCCAGCAGCCGAACTGGACCTTGACTGATTTGTGGCTCTCAGTCTTTTTGTTCCCACACATTCATTCATTTTATTTATACCACTGTTCATATGTTTCTCTGTGGATGCATCAATATGGGTGTTGGGTGTTGCCCCCACCCTGAGCTGCCTCATAACTCGCAGCATGGTGCTATGTTATCTACCTACAGTTTGAAGGGCTCTGAATGCTGAAACACACGCGGACTGGGGACCTGGATTCACTACGCACCAGCCAGGCATTGGGTTATCTACCTACAGTTTGAAGGGCTCTGAATGCTGAAACACACGCGGACTGGGGACCCAGATTCACTATGCACCAGCCAGGCATTGGGTTATCTACCTACACTTTGAAGGGCTCTGAATGCTGAAACACACGCGGACTGGGGACCCGGATTCACTACGCACCAGCCAGGCATTGGGTTATCTACCTACACTTTGAAGGACTCTGAATGCTGAAACACACGCGGACTGGGGACCTGGATTCACTACGCACCAGCCAGGCATTGGGTTATCTACCTACACTTTGAAGGGCTCTGAATGCTGAAACACACGCGGACTGGGGACCTGGATTCACTACGCACCAGCCAGGCATTGGGTTATCTACCTACACTTTGAAGGGCTCAGAATGCTGAAACACACGCGGACTGGGGACCTGGATTCACTACGCACCAGCCAGGCATTGGGTTATCTACCTACACTATGAAGGGCTCTGAATGCTGAAACACACGCGGACTGGGGACCTGGATTCACTACGCACCAGCCAGGCATTGGGTTATCTACCTACACTATGAAGGGCTCTGAATGCTGAAACACACGCGGACTGGGGACCTGGATTCACTACGCACCAGCCAGGCATTGGGTTATCTACCTACACTTTGAAGGGCTCTGAATGCTGAAACACACGCGGACTGGGGACCTGGATTCACTACGCACCAGCCAGGCATTGGGTTATCTACCTACACTATGAAGGGCTCTGAATGCTGAAACACACGCGGACTGGGGACCTGGATTCACTACGCACCAGCCAGGCATTGGGTTATCTACCTACACTTTGAAGGGCTCTGAATGCTGAAACACACGCGGACTGGGGACCTGGATTCACTACGCACCAGCCAGGCATTGGGTTATCTACCTACACTATGAAGGGCTCTGAATGCTGAAACACACGCGGACTGGGGACCTGGATTCACTACGCACCAGCCAGGCATTGGGTTATCTACCTACACTTTGAAGGGCTCTGAATGCTGAAACACACGCGGACTGGGGACCTGGATTCACTACGCACCAGCCAGGCATTGGGTTATCTACCTACACTTTGAAGGGCTCTGAATGCTGAAACACACGCGGACTGGGGACCCGGATTCACTACGCACCAGCCAGGCATTGGCCCAAGTTCTGGGAAGACCGGTCATTTATCATTCACTCATTTATTGTTTCATCACTAATTCATTCATTCACTGCACAAACCTATCAGTATCTGGTCTCACTCTAGACACTAGGATATGGAGATGGATTGCTTTGCTTCCTTTCTTTTCTCCTTTTGACATCTTCTTTTCCATAAACGTTTATTCAGTGTGGACTCAGTGCCAATGTTCTATTCACTTGTCCATGAAACATATGTTTAGTGAGAGTCCACATGCCCCTGAACTTCCCTGGGCACTGGGGTGCAATGTGGGGCGGACGGAGATGATTAGACCACTTCAGTATGGTACACATAAAGCCAAGGAATGACCAAGGCCCTGTGGTGCCCACAGGAGGGGACAGGTGGCTCCCTTGGGGAGAAGGGTTTGGAGGATTGATGGAGCTTGTCGGGTGATGAAAGGGGTGAGTGAGGAAACTGAAAAGAACCAAGAGGACCAACTGGGAGCAGAGGGGTGTGAAGAGATCAGCTGAGGGTTGGCTGCAGCAGGAGAGAATGCTGTCGGCTGTTATAAGCTCTGTGATGAGCATAGGCTTCATTCTAAAGACTGAAAGCAGAAGGAAGAAGGACCTTATTTGATTTCTGTTTTAGAAAAAGCCATCTGAAACGGGGCATGGTGGCTTGCACCTGCAATCCAAACACTTTGGGAGGCCCCGGCAGGAAGACTGAGCTCAGGAGTTCGAAACCAGCCTGGGAAACATAGGGAGAGCTTGTCTCTACAAAAAATAACAAATTAGCCAGGCGTGGTGGTGTGCATCTGTGGTGCCAGCTACTTGGGAGGCCAAGGCAGGAGGGTTGTTGAGCCTGGGAGTTTGAGGCTGCAGTGAGTCATGATCTTGCCACTGTATTCCAGCCCAGGCAATAGAGCAGGAGACTCTGTCTCAAAAACAAAAACAAAAAAAAAAAAAAAAGAAAGAAGGAAAACAGAAAGAAACACTATAGGAAGGGATCCCTCATGCCCCCTTGGAGGGATGTTTGATGAGTTGCAGCTGTCTGATGATGAATTGGGACTAAAATTTTGATGTAAGTCACACAGTGGAATTATCAGGTGGATTGGAGATGGCCTCATGGAGAACATGGTCATTGATCTGAGGCTTAGGGGAGTGGGGAACAACGGAGCAGGAGGACATTTCAAGTAGAGTGGAAGTAGGTTGTGCAGGAAGATGCAAGACGAATGGAAGGGCATGCGTCTCTCCTAGGCACGGTAGCATGCTAGGGGCTGCTTTTCAAACAGTAAGTAGTTCTCTGATACAGAAGGCATAGCCTTGCTCTAGAACCCTAGGGCTTTTTCCTCTGACTGTCCTATGGGGGCTCACCTGAGCATCTATACCCACCTTGGACACCTCCGGCACCATGGGGTCTGCTGGTCATATGATCAAAGAGACCGGGCCCTTACACCATGGACTGGACCTGCTGTAGAGGCCTCCCTTGCTCTGGCCTGATTAAAAACCACCAGTCTCCTGAGCACCCGATAAACTAGTCCGAGCAGCACTCCCCAATGTGGTGTACACTGCCTCACCTCCAAATTCCAAAGAAACTTACCAAGGGTTGTGCTGCTGTCTTAGTGGTAGGGGTTTGAGCTGCAACACTTTTCCAGCATTTCCCAGAGCACCAGATCCCTGAATCTTCATGAAATTTACCGTGCACTCTCTGCCATTTGTGCTTGGGGAAAGTTGAGAGGGAGAAGTCTAGGAGGCAGGCTAATGCCAGATCAGAGAAGCGTTGAATGTCCTATTAAGGCACTTAGCAATGGGGCTTGGGGAACCAACAGGACTGAAGACCTGCTCTGGGCCAAGCAGCTTGCTTTTCTCTTCACATCTTGCATAATCCTCTACATCCCTACAGATGAGGAAACTGAGGCTGCAAGAGACCAACTAGCTAGGTAAGAGAATAGCTAAGGGCTGGAGGCAGGAACAGGGCTGGTTTCACGCATGTGCTGCCTGTGTAGTTACAGAGGACCTTGTTGATCAGAGGGGTCCTACATTTGGTTTAATGGTCTGCTGCCACCATTTTGAAATTCTTAATGATTTCTGAGCAAGGAGTCTATGTTTTTACTTTGTGCTGAGCTCCACAGATGATGCAGCTGGTTCTGCCCAGGAGTGACTCATTCTGAGACGTGAAAGACAGCCTGTGGTCAGGAGCATGGGATCTGGCTACAAATACACTTGTGAAAGAATCATAGTTCTTCCAGTTGGGCCCAACCACTTCACCTGTCTAAGCCTCAGTTTCTTAATCTGGGAGATGGGGCTAGTTTTGATACTTGCCCCATCATAGGGTTGCTGTGTGGGCTGAATGAAGCAATGTGGGTAAAGCACTCAGAATCATACCTGTACAGGTGAGTGTTCAACGTGTTGGCTATTGCGGTTGATCTGGATCTCCTAAGACTACGATTTTTTAATAGCACGTCCCGCCCCAGTATTTGCACCTTGTGGTTAATGAGTACTTCCATGACAAGCACTCCCTGACTGAAATCCGAGAGAGTCTTCTGGACTTGCTTGGAGATGTGTTCTTTGTGGTCCCTGGGCTGATCACAGCTCGGTATCACCGACGTGAGTCTCTGAGCATCCCGCTCCAGGAACACAGCCCAGCAAAGCTGGTGGACACGGAGATCCATGTTGTCTACTGACTGGCTGCCTCCTCTGCCTCTGCTCCCTCGTGGGGAGGGCTTTCCCAGGTGTGTCTCGATGGAACCGTGCTATGGTGACCTGCACCATTCACCTGCCTTTCCGAGTTTGGGAATGTTGATCAGTTGTTGTTTCTGTTCCTTCCACTTCTTCAGGACCATGTAGAAAATTCCCATCTCCCTATAATTTTCTGGGGGCCATTCCCCCCAATTTTTTCTTTTTAGAAATGACTTCTCCAACATCTTAGCCATACATAGTAATGGAACAAACATCTTAGCTATAAGGAGTCATAGAACTCCTAAAGTAATATACTTTAAGTCAACAATTTTAAAGGCAGCCAAATACTCCATCTAATGTATAATATTAGATTCCACATTCTTCTCAAGTGCACATGCAACATCTTTCAGAATAAATCATATGTTAGGTCACCAAACAAATCCCAATAAATGTAAAAGGATGGAAATCACACAGAGTATCTTCTTCAACCACAAGGGAATGAAATTAGAAATAACAAAAGGAAATCTGGAAAATTCATAAATATTTATAAATAAAATGGCATACTCTATGTTAAATTTTAAAAGTTATGGTTAAATATGCTTGATAAAATATTTGCCAGTTGAGCCATTTTAAGTGTATAGCTCAGTGCCATCAAGTACATTCATATTGTTGTACAACCATCACCACGATACAGCTTCAGAACTTTTTTATCATCCCGAACTGAAACTCGGAACCTGTTAAAAACAACTCCCCACCCCTCCTTCCCCCAGACCCCAATTGCCACCATTCTGCTTGCTGTCTCTATGGCTGGCTTTTTAGTTACTTAGTGATTTTAGTTACTCAATGTAAATGAAATCACATGATATCTGTCCTTTTGTATGGCTTATTTCAGGCAGCATAAGATCTCAGGGTTTCTATATGTTGTACCATACATCAGAATTTCCTCCTTTTTCAAGCCTGAATAATGTTCCATTGTACGTCTGTATCACATTTTGTTTATCCATTTATTCATTAATGTACATTCAGGTTGTTTCTACCTTTCGGCTATTGCTCAATGAACAGTTGGCTGTTGGCCACAGCTGGCTATTGACTATAATGCGGCAATGAGCACAGTTGTAGAAATAATCTGTTCGAGCCCCTGCTTTCAGTTATTTGGGGTATGTGCCAGAGGTAGAATTGCTGGATTATATGTAACTCTATGTTTAACTTTTGGAAGAACTGTCATGTTGCTCTCCATTGTTCTGCGCCATTTCACATTTCTACCAGCAATGCACGGGGATTGTAATTTTTTGACATCTTCACCAACATTTGCTATTTCCTGTTTTTGTTGTTTTTAAATAACAACTATTCTAATGGGTTTGAAGTAGTATCTCATTATGGTTTTGATTTGCATTTTCCTAATTATTAGGGATATTGAGCATCTTTTCATGTGCTTATTGGACAACTCTATATATGCTTTTGGAGAAATGTGTATTCAAGACCCTTGCCCATTTTTTAGTTGAGTTTTTTGTTGTTGAGTTTTAAGAGTTCCTTATATATTGTAGAATATTAATCCCTTATGAGATATATGACTTGCAAATATTTCCTCCTATCTGTGGGTGGCCTTCTTACTTTGTTGATAATGTACAAAAATTGCTCAACAGTTTCAAATTTTGATGAAATATAATTTATCCACCTTTTTGTTGATTGTGCTTTTGGTGTCATAGCTAAGAATCTATTGCCAAATTCAAGGCTATGGAAATTTATCAGCATATTTTCTTATAAGAGGTTTACAGTTTTAGTCTTACATTTAGGTCTTTGATCCATTTTGAGTTGATTTTTCTATATAGTATGAGGGAAGAATCTATCTTTATTATTTTGCCTATGCTATATACTAGGTGGCTATAATATTTTTTAAAAGAAAAGGAATAAGAACAAGTGTGAAGGGTCTAGAGAAACCAAAACCTTCATACACTGCTGTTGGGAACATAAGACAGTGCAGCCACTGTGGGAAACAGTTGTGGCTGCTCCTCAAAAGGTTAAACATAGAGTTTCCATATAAACTAGCAAATCCAGTCCTAGGGGTGTACTCAAGATAACTGAAAACAGATGTTCAAACAAAAATTATATGTGAATGTTCATAACACCTTGTTCATAATAGGCCAAAATGGTAACAACCTAAGTGTTCATCCACTGATGAATCGACAAACAAAATTCTGTATATACTTAACAATGGGTTATCATTTTGCCATAAAAAGAAATGAAATACGGATGCATGCTACAACACAGATGAGCCCTATAAACATTATGCTAAGTGAAAGAAGTCAGGCACAAAGGGCCACATGTTGTATGATCCCATTTCTATGAAATGTCTAGATTAGGCAAATCCATAGAGACAGAAAGTAGAATTGTGTTTTCCAGAGGCAGAGAAGAGGGGTCAGTGGGGGTGACTGTTTAATGGGTCTGGGGTTTCTGTTTGGGATTATGAAAATGTTCTGGACTTAAATAGTGGTGACGGCTGCACAATGTACTAAAGATCACTGAGTTATATACTTTAAAATAAAGTGGCAGATTTCACTTAGGTACATTTTGCCTTAAAAACTTGGCTAAGAAAATGAGAAAGCAAACCACAGACTGGAAGAAAATATTCATAATACAAGTATTTCGTAAAATAATCATATCCAGAATAGAAGAGCTCTTACAGTTCAGTAATGAAAAGAAAGTATTTTCCAATAATGGGTAGAAGACTTGAACTTGAAAAGACACCTCACAAAAAAAGTTTCAAAGTCCATGAAAAGGTACCCAGTCATCAAAGAAATGGAAAATAAACTAAAATGAGGGAACCATTTCTATCTAGTAAAATGGCTAAAATAAAAATACAAACCATACCAAGATGAATTGCCAAGAATGTGGAATCTTCAGAATATGGAACGTTCTCATGTACTTCTCGTGGAAAAGTAAAATGGTGCAACTCTAGAAAGCTGGTAGTTTATTGAAAGCCAAACATACACCTATGTTGTTAATCATTCTGCTCATAAGCATTCACTGAAGACAGGTTAAGGTGTATGTCCTTACAAAAGACTTGTATAGACTAGGCATGGTGGCTCATGCCTGTAATCCCCGCACTTTGAGAGGTCAAGGTGGGTGGATCAATTGGGGCCAGGAGTTTGAGACTAGCCTGGGCAACACGGTGAAACCCGTTCTCTACAAAAAACATACAAAAATTAGCCAGGTGTGATGGTGGGCATCTGTAGTCCCAGCTACTCGAGGGTGGGGACTGAAATGGGAGGATTGCTTGAGCCTGGGAGGTTGAGACTGCAGTGAGCTGTGATTGCACCGCTGCATTCCAGCCTGGGTGACAGAGTGAGACCCTATCTCAAAACAACAACAACAACAACAAAAAAAAAAAAAACAAAGAAAAAAGACTTGTACATACATATTCACAGCAGCTTTAATAATAGTGCCATATTGGAAACAACCCAAATGTCTATCATAGACACCAGAGAAATAAACTGTGGTAAAATCATGCACTAGCATACTCGGTGATAAAAAGGCATGAACTGTTGATCCACCTGATAACATAGATGAATCTCAAAAACATTAGGTTGAGCAGAAGAAGCTGTAGAGTACACAACAGAGTACATATTGTATTATTCCATTTGTGTGGAGTTCGAGGATCGGTGAAATGAATCGATGGTGATAGGAATGAGTATGGCTTTTTCTTGGGAGAGTGATTAGAAAGGGACCTCTCTGGGTGAAGGAAATTCTCTGTATCCTGACTGACTGGGTTGCTGGTTACATAAACACATTTGTAAAAACTCCTCAAACTCTACGCTTAAGATCTGTGCTTTGTGCTGTCCGTAAGCGGTACTTCAATTAAAGGAGAGAGAATAAGGGGAGAGGAAGTGGAGACAGTGTAAGTATAGGGCAACTGTATTTTGAGGTCTTCCTGGGAGGAATGCAGAGAAATGAGCCAAGTAATTAGAAGCAAAATTGAAACTGCGTGTGTGTGTGTGCACCTGTGTGTGCTCATGCATGTGTTCCCATGTCTGCATGTGTACATGCCCATGTGTGTTGGAAATTACAGAGCAAAGACCTTCAGTAGAAGACAAGTGAAAGAATGTAAGATAAATATACATGGATTGTCTTGAAACCAGAAATTAGCCTTTTTTTGTTGGTCTCCAGACGATTGAACCAGGGTCAATGAGAGAAAGTCCCAACAAGGTACATCTTGGCTGAATAGAGAGGACTTCTTTTGAGAAGTAGAACTATTGTCTTCTCAGACATGAGCTATTCATCACTAGGGATGTGAGCACTGCTGTAGCAGAAAATTCCAGCCTCGAGTGAGGAAGGGGGAAGTGAGGCTGGCTTAGGTAGCCTCTTGTCTCTGAGCTGTCCCACCCCTGGATCTATACATCCAAGACTAGATAGGTGGGGATGCAGTGGCCGCTCCCTGCTCCACGCTGCATGCATGCCTGACCCTCCCTGACCCTCTGTCAGATGCTGGAGCACCTGTCTACTTCTACGAGGTTTGGCACCGGCCCCAGTGCTTTGAAGACACGAAGCTAGCTTTTGTCAAAGCCGACCACGCTGATGAAGTCCGTTTTGTGTTTAGTGGTGCCCTCCTGAGGGGAGACATTGTTGTGTTCGGTAAGGGACTGGCCACTCCCCACAGTTCACATGAAGCCCTCTGCTTACCCCACCTCTGTGCAAGAGCCCGGAGGATTTTAGGGTTGGCATTTAATCACCTCTCTGGTTTACAGGCAGACATAACCTTTCTCTGGAAAATGCACTCACTTCTATTTTTAGAAGCCAAGATGAAAAAGCGCTGTGGCAGTTGCTTGATGAGGGCTTCTCTTTGTACCGAAACCCGAAGGTGTGGCCACTTCAGGGCACTCGAGCAATCTAAATAATTAAAATATATATATGTTAGAACCATTTTCTCCCTTTTCTTTGACCACTGGTCTTACCCTCCCTCCCCTTCCCAGAAATCCCATGAGGCCACAACCTGGGGCTTTAGGAGGCAAGGACCATGTTTTTCATAATTCCAGCTCAAAGTGGTCTGCACCCAGATGAGTGCGTGTAAATGCTTGTGCACTGTTACTTGTGATGTTAGCTCATTTATTCTTAAATTTATAACATACCTGGTGCCTAAAATAAACCAATCAGATGAGGTTATCAGTAGAAAAAAATTACAGGGAAAATTACACACAGGAGCAATCACTAAAATATTTAGTTTAAAACATTACAAAAACAGGCTCTTAACTTATTCACACTGGCCTCTTGACCACAAGGCCAGAATGTTCTATACAGAGTGTGTTTGTGCACTCTGGTTTATTCATTATTTCAGTTTTTCATTCTCATCCTACAACACAGATAATAATAGAATTTCCTTCCTCTTAGGTTGTCAGAAGGATTAAATGAAATAAGCCCCATAAAGTATAGAGGGAATACCTAATAAATGCCACTGTTATTACTCATCAGCCATTCCCGAGGCCATTCTATGTAATGGTACATGGACTCCCTAAATTGGAAAAAGTGAACAACATATGTATCAAAGGGTTAAATTCCTTGATGTCTAAAGAGCTCGTAAAATTAATAAGAAAAGAATAACCTAATTGAATACTGGGTAACAGATATGAACAGTTTATGGAAAAAGAAACACAACCTCTCTCATAACAAGGGAACTGCAGACCGACCTTAGCTGAGGAATTATGTTTCAAGAATCAAGGTCGGAAAAAACAAAGCACTTAAAATAATGTATGCAAGCAGGCATGAGAAACAATTTTATACATTAATAGAGAAGTCTGTTGACATTTAAAATGCACGTAAGGCTGGGCATGGTGGCTCACACCTGTAATCCCAGCACTTTGGGAGTCCGAGGTGGGAGGATTGCTTGAGTCCAGGAGTTCCAGAGCAGGTTAGGCAATGTAGTGAGGCCCCCTCTCCACAAAAAATTAAATAAATAAACAAATGAGCCAGGCATGGTGGAACATACCTGTAGTCCCAGCTACTCAGGAGGCCGAGGTGGGAGGATCACCTCAGCCCAAGAGTTTGAGGCTGCAGTGAGCTGTGATCATGCCCCTGCACTCCAGTCTGGGCAACAGAGTGAGACCCTGTCTCAAAAATTGTTTTTATTTTCATAAAATAAAAAAATGCATGTAGTCTTAGCCAGGCATGGTGGCTCATGCCTATGAAGCCAGACCTTTGGGAGGCTGAGGCAGGAAGAATTGCTTGAGCCCAGGATTTGGAGGTGGCTGTGAGCTCTAATCATGACACTGCACTTCAGCATGGGTGACAGAGTGAGACTCCATCTTTATAGAAATAAATAATCTAGAATAAAATGTATGTAGTTTTTAGCCTTGCAATTCTATTTCGAGAGTTTTTGTGTAATTATACTTCCACATGTGCAAAAGTATACGTGCATACTAAAATATTGCTTTTACTACCAAAAGATTGGAAACATGACACATAAATTATGATTATATATAATTGCATATAAATATATATTTATATAGTACGTGTTCATAAAACAACAAATGGCAGTTTAATAGGTGACAAGTCCTATACATGAGATAATTTTAATAGAAAGAACAATATGTAGAATATGTATTCAGTCTCCTGCCGGATGTGTAGAAAGGTGTCTGCGTACACCTTGGTACCTGCAGAGCCTGTCTCTGGGAGGGTGCCTCTGAGGCTCATCACTGGGTGTCTGGAGGGAAGAGATGAAAGGGAAACATTTTCATTGTGTATTAGATGCCTTTTCTGCATTTTGGACTTTGCACTTTTTAAAGAAAGAAATACAGAAAATAATTGTAAAAATGTGTGCGGGAGGAGGGAGGCAGAGGGAGAGAGAAAAGGAAAAGAGAGGAAAGAGAGAGAGAAGGATGAGAGAGAGAAAAAAGAGAAGGGAGAGAGAGGGAGAGAGGAGAAAAAGAGCGGGAAGAGAGATGGAAGAGAGAGATGGGGAGAGAGAAAAGAGAGAAGGAGGGAGAGCAAAAGAGAAGGAAGAGAGAGGGAAGGAAGAGAAAGAGGGAAGAAGAGAGGAGAGAGAGGGAGAGAGAGAAGAAAAGCGAAAGGGAAGAGAGAAGAGAGAGATGGGGAGAGAGAAGGAAGAGAGGAAGGAGAGAGAGGGAGAGGAAGAGAGAAGGAAATGAGAGGGAAGACAGAGAGAGGGAGAGAGAGAAAGAATGGAGATAGAAGTAGAGGAAAAAGAGAGAAGGGGGGAAAACAAAGAGACAGAGAGAGGGAGCAAGCTGCTCTGTGTCCCCAGGGAAACTGCGGCCTCATGGGACTGTCTGCAGGAACACGGGGTGGCCAGGGAAGATGTGTGTTCAGCTTCCACCATTTGGAAGCCACGGTTCCTTGGGAAGGTACCAGTTGCTCTGAGCCTCCCTTGGTATCTGCATGTATAAAATAGGTACAGCGTCTTAGTAGGTTTGTAAGGATCCAATGGGAGAAGGGGCGTGAAAGAGATTCATCAAATACAAGGCACTCAGGGCTTCCCAGCCTCACTGAGAGCCTCAGTGTTTTGTGATTATCTTCTTCAGGAGGAGCCACAGAGGAGGAGAAGTTGCTGAGCCAGAAGGTGATGAAATACTGGGCTAACTTTGCTCGAACCGGGTAAGTAAACCTCCCAGTCTCCCCCACACCAGGGCCTGGGGTGTGAAGAGGAAAATCTCACGCCTGTTTCTGCTCTCCCTTCCAGGAATCCTAATGGGGATGACCCGCCCCTGTGGCCGGCCTATAATCTGACAGAGCAGCACCTGCAGCTGGACTTGAACAAGAGCCTCAGACAGAGGCTCAAAGAGCAGCGGGTGCAGTTTTGGACGAGCACCATCCCCCGATCCCGTCTGCCTCTGACATGCTCCACGGTCCTCTTTCCTCCTTAACCTTCCTCTCTCTCCTCCAGCCTTTCTTTTTCTCTTGTGCTCCTTGAGAAGTTATCTTTTTGTGATTTTGGTTTTCCTTCTCCTCCTGCAGTTTTTCCCGCGACCATTAGCTTCTTTCCGAGTTCAGCTGCTTTCTATGGGGATCTTTGCAGAACAAGCTGCTTTCGCTGATATTTTATGGACTTAGGAATGATCTTTATGGAATTCTTTTCAACATCAAAAAATGCCATTGTCTTAGAAGGCAACAAGATTTCTTCACTAAATTTTGAGGAGGGCTGGCCTATTAGTTGTCATAATAATGGTCTTGTAACTCATATGAACTAAAATCAGAATGTAAAATATGTATAAGGGGGCAGAATTTAATTCTCTGTGGATAACTCTTCCCCCACCCCCAGAACTCACTTTCTATCAGAGAAGGTGTCTGTGTATTTGCCCAAACTGTGAGTCCTCCAACCCCAACCCACAGGGGCTTCAGTCACAAGCCTAGTATGGATGTCTTGGACATCACGGGTTTGAGCTGAATCTCTTCTCTGGCTCAATGAGATGTGTGGGTGACAGAGTATCCTTAGCCATGGAAAGCTGACATCATCCAAAATAAAAAATTTAGAAGTGAAATTCCAGGTGTCAAGGATCAGATCAGCAACGCCCAGAAGAAATGAAGCTTCCCTGATGGGGTCAAGATAAAGCTACCATTCCATCAATCTACACTGGCTGGACGTGGTGTCTCACACCTATAATCCCAGAATTTTGGGAGGGTGAGGCAAGTGGATCACCTGAGGTCAGGAGTTCAAGACCAGCCTCGTCAACATGGTGAAACCCTGTCTCTACTAAAAAAGAAATACAAAAATTAGCCAGGCGTGGTGGTGTGTGCCTGTAGTCCCAGCTATTCAGGAGGCCGAGGTGGGAGAATTACTTGAACTCAAGAGGTGGAGATTGCAGTGAGCAGAGGTTGTACCACTGTACTCCAGCCCGGACAGAACGAGAATCTGTCTAAAAAAAAAAAAAAGATAAGATAATAAATAAAAAACAAATCTGCACTGAGCACCTGATGTATACCAGGCATGTCTTCACCGGGGATACGACAGTGAGAAAAGTTTGGCTGCTGCCAAAGAGTGAGCAAACGGACATTCAGCAAACATTCACAGAAGTGGGTATCTCATACTGTAAATTTGATAGGTGTGACTCAGGAGAATCAGCTGTTTTAAGAAAGTGTAACAGAGAAAGCCTAAGTTAGATTACCGTCGTAGGAGACTCTCTCTGGAGAAGTAGCATTTACATTAAGAAAGGACAAATCAAAGTTAGTCACAGGGTAGAGAGAATGTTAAATGCCATCTTTCGAAGGATGCCCTCTTACTTTGTATAGCCATGTAATCCATATTATATCCACATAATTCACCAGGGTAATTAGTTTTTCTTCGTGATGGCTTCAAGATTACATGAGATGCGTTGAATAGAAGGGTTTCTGAGATGCCAGTAACTCATCCGGATGAGAGATCTCCAACTCGGAGCCTGAATCTGACTCCCTGAAGTGTTTGTTTGGCCCACACAACGTGAAACGTGTTTGGAATTTGTTGCAGCAAATTTTAAATTAGGAAAATCTCACATTAAATGGCATATTTCTAGCTTCTTCAGGTAAAAATAATAACAAGAAAACCCAGAAGATATTATTACAGAGCTGCACTCCCACCTGATACCCAGGGCTTCTCGCGGTCCACACGGCACCTTTTATGCAAATTAGAAGGTGCCCTTTCCTTAAAACCGTCTACAGACATCTTCCAGGAAAGCACCATGGATAGATATCTGCATCTATGATGCAAATGACACCTCTTCTAAAGTGTTACTCTTCCGCAGTGCAACTGTCTCAGCAAAGACAGAGAAATCAGCAGGAACTGAGTGGTGGCTATCTCATTTACAGAGGCATACGTTCTCAACTTGCCACAGTCTGCACCGTTCTTTGTGCTCTGCCTGGTCCATTTTACTCATTGATATTACCCAACCTCTGAAGGTGTTTAGGTTTGGGCCCTTGACCTCTCATTTCATACTGAACCTCAGAGAGGTCAAAAGATTCAACTGAGATCACTCAGCCAGTGTGCAGTGTCAGCAAGTTAGCAGTAAGTCAAAACTAGGCACTTAAGGCTCTTGTCACTACAGGGAAGGACTCTTACTGCCGTACAGCTACCTCTCCCACCAGATGGTCCAAGGCCTTCGGTTGTCTCTGGCTCAGGTGGTTGTGGGAGGGGTGGATCAGAGATGCTTTGGGCCACTTTACGGCTCTAGGCCACATGCAAGCAAGCTGGAAACTGAATTGCCTCTGCAGCTGCAGAAGACTAATTTCTATATTGATATTTGGAAAAGCTAACAGCTAGAAAACACCACTCAACTCATTTTTAAAAATACGATCATATTAAATGACATTACACACATCATTTATATATTGCTCCCAGTGCCAGAATCCTCGAATACGGTTCTAATTTTGGTAGCTCTCTTGCTAAGGGGAGCACATTTTTACATTATCCAGATATAGGGCCCTCTTTCCTTCTCCTTCTGTCCACATGCAATCAGATGCTTTGTGGAGTTGAAGTTGACATTTATTTAAATGCCACTTGGTGCCTGGTTTTTCCCCCTTTAATTTAGGGTTTCCTATCTGGGGTGTAAGTAAAAGAATCACTTGGAGGGCTTTTCCAAAGTGCCAATGGCCAGGCCACTAGCCAGTTAACTGGAAGCAAAATCTCCTTGGATGGGACCTAGAAGTCTTTTCAGTTTTCAGGCATTTTAATGGTACTCCTGATTGAGAACCACCAGGTCTTCAAAGTGTGGCATATGTATTTTTCAAGCTCCTAGAGGCTCTCCAAAGCAAACAGAAATCTGCTGTACTCTGCCTGGTGTTGATGTGTCACAGTCTTTTTAGCCATTAGTCTGATCCTGGATATTTATGGAAATAATTTGATGAGCAATGTTGGGAATGAATACTTCTTTTTTTTCTTCTTTGAGACAGAGTCTTACTCTGTCACCCAGGCTAGAGTGCAGTTGTGCCATCTCTGTTCAACTGCAACCTCCACCCCAATACTTTTATTTTAAAATATTATTTATGGCACCCAGGTTTGCATAAGATGGACTGGGTCAATGGCCATGCCCTTTATAAATCACCATTCTTAAGTTCTACAAATTCACTTTCCTAAAGAGCCAAATCACATCCTACTCACAGGCAATGAGGGTACACATCATTTTCTTTCTTTTCTTTTCTTTTCTTTTCTTTTCTTTTCTTTTTTTTTAATGAGATGGAGTATCCCTCCATTGCCCTGGCTGAAGTGCAATGGCACAATCTTGGCTCACTGTGACCTCTGCCTCCTGGGTTCAAGTGATCTTCTGCCTCAGCCACCTGAGCAGCTGGGATTACAGGCGCATACTATCATGCCTGGCTAATTTTTGTATTTTTAGTAGAGACAGGGTTTCACCACGTTGATAAGGCTGGTCTCGAACTCCTGACCTTGTGATCCACCTGCCTTGGCCTCCCAAAGTGCTGGGATTACAGGCATGAGCCACTGTGCCCCAGTCATCATTTTCACAATCACTTCTAATTTTCCACCATTGCAAAAACATAAAATATTTCATCACTTTCCTATTGTAAAACAAACAATTTATTTTTCCAGAACCCACTGACTCCCTCCCCTACCCCACTTTTTTTTTCCCCAAACAATCTTGGACCCTATCCATTAAATCAAATCAAAGCAAAACTTTAGGTTCAAACCTGTCTTCACCTGTGAATTTCCTAATGTCCAGCAGAGGGCACCATTATCACAAAGGAAAAATGCTTCTCCCTACTCTGAGGCTCCTGGGATGCTGGTGGTGGTGTGACATGGCCGAACTTGGACTGAAAATAACACCATGCAAAATAGTTAAATTATATGCAAACCAATACAAAATAGTGTTATCTTCTTCCTCTGTAACATTTGGAAAGAGGAAAAGGTACAATTTACATCTTGAAAAGTCTGACTGAAAAGACAACTCACTAGCAGAACAGGAGGTGGGGCCAAAAATTTTTCCTTTTTCTACTTCTTGAATTTTCCCATTAAGTCTCCAGGAGCCTGCCTCAGAGGGACATCAGGGATTTCCTCTCCTTGGACCAACTTGGTCCATATTCCCCCTGGGCAGGGTTGCAGGGGAGGGAGTGTGGGAAATGCACTCAGGCCCAGTACCTGGGCAGCTGCCTCACCTGGTTTTGCCCCAGGTAAAGCAACTACAAGACGAGCCTCCCTTCCCCCAGCAGGAACAGATCCCACTCAGTCCTGCCTTGTGTGCTCTGCTAAAAGTTTGCACCAAGAGTGTGCCTCATTATTCCCTGGGACAGGAAGGGCTGGGGAGAGAAAAACCTACCTTGCCACTTGATTGTGTCAAAATACGAGGGAATTCATTGCAAAGAGCTTGCTGTGCTCCATAAATGGGGTGGAGCTCAAGCCTGAAAGTATAGGATGGGTAGGAAGGGGGATGGCCAGCCACAGCGTGACCCTGAGCAGTGGCGGTAAGGGGGCCAGCCCACAGGCAGCAGGGCTGGTGTTGGCAAGGTTGCTGGAGCACACCTTGGGTGCCTGGGGGATAGCTTTTCTACCTTGACCTGTGGCAAACAGACTTCTCTCTTTACAGGAAGATAATGCCGTAAAATGTGAATCAATCTATCTTCTATCTAATTTGTGCTCTATTTACCTCCTGAACTTCTCACGTGTGAGACCACATTTATTGAATATATGCTTCAGGTAAGTTGCATTTGAATTTCTCTTAGTACATATGACAAAGTCCTGATTAAAATCATTGCTGCATTTGATCATTTACATTCTGTCCTGTAACTATAATTTATATGACCACCAGTAATTTTATCTGTATCAATCTTGTCTCCTGTATTAGATAATAAGTTCTTAAGGCCTGGTATAAATATTTAAGTTTTTAAATTGAATATAACATACATATAATAAAATATATATGTATACATACATACATCCACACAAATACACACATGCAATGTATATATTATGACTTGATAATTTCACTAAGG